TCAACTAGATAACACCCATTAAGAGGGAGGGTTTCTCTCTTAGCTCTGACCTGCAAGGGATAATCACAGCAAGTCAAATCGTATTTCTACTCATCCACTGATTGGATGATGTAGGGCTCAGTCAGTCCTGCCTTGATTCAATCTTACTAGGAACTCACAGGGTAGTTAAGCTCTGGAATAGGCTTCCAAGGGAGGTCGTGGAATCCCCTGTCATGCAAGGTTTCTAAGAACATGTTGGACAAACACCTCTCCGGATGGTCTAGGTTACTTGGTCCTGCCTCAGTGCAGGGGGCTGGGTTAGGTTAGATGACCTCTCAAGATCCCTTCCAGTGTGCTTTGAAAAGGGGTAAATCCTAATTCTTAGGCACAAAGGAACTAGGGCCAGGGAGCCACCCCCAAGGACCATACACATAGCATTCTTTGCTAGGGCATTTTTATCATTTCTCCCCCTTAAAAAAGTTACTGACTGCAGTCCCCTACCCCCCCATCACCCTAAAAAGACTTAATTGAGCTGCTCAGTCTCCAAGCTCAGGACCCTCATTCTCCCCTACGTAGTAACTCACATAGGACAGCAGGAGTTCTGTGAGATACAACATATGCTGTTTCCTCTCAATTTTTCCACCTGGAGAAAAATTGAGGATCCCATCCCAGAGTCCATGAAATAACTTCTGGCTCCTATCCCTCTTAACCTAGATTCCACAGACTAGTACAGGGCTTCCCCTACCCTTCCTGCTTCCAGAACCATACCCCACCAAGTGGAACCGTAGCATGGAGTATAAACACAGCACATCTTGAGTTGAACTGCTCTTTGTTTCCCCTGAATGGTGTGAGGCAGATAGCAAAGGAGAGGAAGGATGGCCTTATGCTTAAGGCAGTGACTTAGGACTCAGGAGACATAGGTTCAATACATGGCAGAGGGGCATTGCTGGCACATGATGGCATATATCACATTGGTAGATGTGCAGGTGAATGAGCCTCTGATAGGATCTACAACCTATCCTGAAGGATGACCCATCACGCTCACAAATCTTGGGAGACAGGCCAGTCCTTGCCTACAGACAGCCCCCCAACCTGAAGCAAATACTCACCAGCAACCACACACCACACAACAGAACCACTAACCCAGGAACCTATCCTTGCAACAAAGCCCGTTGCCAACTGTGCCCACATATCTATTCAGGGGACACCATCATAGGGCCTAATCACATCAGCCACACTATCAGAGGCTCGTTCACCTGCACATCTACCAATGTGATATATGTCATCATGTGCCAGCAATGCCCCTCTGCCATGTACATTGGTCAAACTGGACAGTCTCTGCGTAAAAGAAAAAATGGACACAAATCAGATGTCAAGAATTATAACATTCATAAACCAGTCGGAGAACACTTCAATCTCTCTGGTCACTCGCTTTCTGATCTCAAAGTGACTATCCTTCAACAAAAAAACTTCGAAAACAGACTCCAACGAGAGACTGCTGAATTGGAATTAATTTGCAAATTGGATACAATTATCTTAGGCTTGAATAGAGACTGGGAGTGGTTGAGTCATTATACTAACTATTTCCCCTTGTTTATTCCTCCCCCACCACCCCAGACGTTCTTGTTAACTCCTGGAAATGTGCTGGAAATGGCCCACCTTGATTATCACTTCAAAAGGTTTTCTCTCCCCCCACCCCGCTCTCCTGATGGTAATAGCTCATCTTAAGTGATCACTCTCCTTACAATGTATATTTTTTCATGGTCTGTGTGTATATAAAATCTCCTCACTGTACTTTCCACTTTATGCATCCGATGAAGTGAGCTGTAGCTCACGAAAGCTTATGCTCAAATAAATTGGTTAGTCTCTAAGGTGCCACAAGTCCTCCTTTTCTTTTTGCGGATACAGACTAACACGGCTGCTACTCTGAAATCAATAAAAATAGTCAGGCCAATCTGCCCTGTCCTCTGTATAGAGCTCAGACCCTTTGTTGCACCTACAGGTTTCAAGGGAAGAGGGAGCAGGCCCTCCTGCATCCATACACTGAGAAGGAAGCCTGTGCTAGCTGGTGGGGGAGAAGGGTAGGGAGAAAGGGACAGTCTGATTTGAAAGCAGCTTTTGATATAAATATTCCAATAGCAATTTCCTAGTTCTGCGAGCAACACATCTGGCCACTAGATGCCACTGCTGCTCCATGCAATGTCATCTTTGGAAAGCTGAGACCAAGACAGTTAAAGTTACAGTACTGCCAGTGAGGGACAGTTGCTGTTCTGTTTCCTTAAGAGAAGAGAGACAAAAAGGGAAAGGAAATGAGCCACAACCTAAGTAAAGACAGGAAAACTGTCAGTAGTAGTTTATTAACTTAAAACCCTGACTTCAATAGTTACTCCACAGAGAGAATTTGCCTCTGTCAGTGTATTTTACCAGACACTGGTGGAAAGACTATGTGGAGAACTCAAATGTAGGGTGATCTGGATCCTATTCTACCAAATGTACAGAAAATTGAATGGCAGTTGTAGATTCTGTGGTGGTGAAAATGCTACAAAAGGCAGAGAAGTATTAGTTTTCAGATCCTACACTTCATCATGTCATTCTGCTATAGGATAATACCCAAAACACTGCACCACCAGAATGTATGTACCATTTAATATTTCTTGTAGATTATGCATAACCCTTCTGCCAGGTGAAGTCAGTAGCGACAAGGGCCAGACTCAATATCTAGGGGTTCCTTTTTAACAATACATCACAGAACTGGCTTGAGCACCCACCCAGTAGCCTGGGAAAATTACACACCACCTCTGTGTACCACTAGGAGGCAATACTTCCCCTTTCACAAACACTGAGTCTGTGTGTAGAAAAGAAACTTTTAATAAAAAGGGGAAAGTAACCTGGCATTAATTTGGGAAAACTCTGCAAGCAGGATTCAGAAGCATGACCATGAGCAAAACACCCATCCCAGAGTACATTGGGCCGTGTTCTTTGCCTCAGGTTCTCACCTTTCAGTGAGAAAGTCCAATAAACAAAAGCTCCTTCTACTCCCCTCTCCCTCCACCATACCCCACTCATAGTTGCTGTCCTTGGTCAGCGAAGATCCAGAGTTCAGAGGTGCATTCACATGAGTTCACCTCCCCTCTCCCCCCCCTTCCCCCCCGCCCCACGGGAGGGAGAAGGCACTCTGGCTCAGTCCACTGTCAGTCACTCTGCTGCCACTCACTCACTCGCTTGGCCATCAGCTGCTCACTTGCTCTGCCATCGGCCATGTGCTCCACCTCCACTTGTTCGCTCATCAGCCTTTCCACTGCTGCTCACTCGCTCTGCCAGCAGGCGCTCCACTGTCACTCCCTCCACCATTGTCCTCTCTACTGCTTCCGCTGGAGTGTCTTGAGGTCCCACCACTGAACACAGTGCTCAGTGAGTTCAGCTGTTCATGCGGGAACCTCAGTGCTCGTGCAGACTGGGCAGTTTCTTTCACCAGAGACACTGTTCCATCACCGTCTGATATTTAGGCCCGGTTATCAATGATTTCACCTCTACTGATCCACAACAAAAGACTCTCAATAGAGCCTTAATCTTCTCTGTCATTGCACAGTGGAGAGGAAGAGGGTCAAATCATGTCTTGGACCCTTAGGCAGGGCCCACACCACCAGGAAGAAACACTTATCCTCCACCTTCTCTCATCCCCACGGAGCTTCGGTGCCCCTCCCCCCTGCCTAGTGAGTGAAGTTCAGTTGAGGGTGAGTCCCTCAGTCAGAGCAGTGCTGCTGCCCTTGATTCACACAAGGATAAAAACCCTTTATTACCCCTGCCCCCCCCCCCAATAACAAAGCAACTTTCGATCCAACCCCAGCCAACGGTGAGCATTTGGGCAAAGCAGCTCCATCATGCTGCGCAGTAGGTGTGTCTATGCAAACAAGGTCGGTTCCTGAAATCTTCTCCCCTAGCTCATCACTAGATGTCAGGGGAGAGCTCATTCAGACCCTGCTTACATATGTACACTGAGAAAGATGACTCCACAGATAGTGTAGCTCTGAACAGAATTATGCCAGTTTATATCAGCTGAAGATCTAGCCCACCAAGTCTTTCGTTTAACATTGAAAGAGTAAGTTTTAAAAAAAAGAATTTGTCCCACTGGGAACCAGACAGATGACTATCAAACTAATTTCTTATAAGCCACCAAACAGGAACATTTGGTCACTACCAAACTGAGCTGATTCAAACCAAGCCAGAGATGTTCAAGTGATAGGCACCACTATGGGAGAGATCCCTCTCCGTATATACATAGTTACTAGATAAGGTGCCAATAAATGGGACTCAAGAAAGTGTAGCCTCGTTCTTCGGTTTTGTAGGTGTAATGAAACTCGGTTTGCACAGGGCTTCCTCTGGCAGCATTTTACAGGCACAGTCTATGCCATCCCCATCTCCTGAGCCAATCAATCACTCAGAAGAAGCATTAGCTAAGAAACTTGGCTTCTTGTCAGCCACAGGATGTCAGTGTTTCCTACAGCTTATTGCACAGTAAGTTTGTCAGTGATGATTATTCACTATACCTTAAATATAATTCATTTAATGGGGGGGTTCTTCATGTCTAGAGGTAGTAAGTTACACATTTCATATTGTATTCTTCTAGTTAAGAAGTCCTGTTTAGAGAGAGAAATGAAGCTATTTAGAAGCTGGATTTAAATGGCTTCATTTCTCTATTGTCTATAGAGAAAAGTCTAAAGATCTTGGTGATTTACGTATCGCAAAGCCAATGTTTGATCTACTTATTACCCTTTGATATGACAGGGAAACACCAGATATTTACCATTTATGTGGATCTGATAGTTTGAACCTGGAGTGTATAAAGAAATGTTTAACAATGTGTCTTTGAGATTACCAAAAAAGAACAAACATTAAAGCTGTGACTAAGAGTATATTAAATATATACAGTAAATAGCCATCACATTGGTAACCCTGATATATCGTAGCAAGCATTTTTAATACCTCCTGCTAACCGATGGTCATTTTCCTTGGATTCACAGGATGGCAGAGCTCACTTTAAATTGGAAAGGGGCAGAGGACCAAACTGATATTTGTACTTTTGTTGAATAGTTTCTCGTTCATGAGTAGTCCAACTGAGACCAATGGGAACACTCACATTAAATACTCAAGGTGAGTAAAGCTATCAGAATGCAAATGTCCAGTCCATATAGATGTGTTTGATTTCTCCTTTATACACAAAATGGACTTTCTCTTCAGGCCAATTCGCTTTGCTTAAGTTGGTTTTACTTCAGTGGAACTATTAAATTCCATAAAATTACTCCTGCTTTATGTCCAGATCAAGATATCTTGACTCCAGTTTAGTAGCACTTTAGTCCTTGGTCAGTCTCGTTGATTTCAGTGTACTCAGTTTAAGGAACCTTTACTCAAGACGAATACTAGCTGAATCTGGCCCTTAGACTGGTGTAAGCAAATTAACAATCAGATCCCTGGTTAGCTATACCCAGCACCATGGGCCCCTTGAAACTAGTGGTAAAAATTCCACCGACCCCAATGCAACATTTGAAGTCAATGGCCCATTGACTTACTGACCCCCATTATTTAACTTCACATCTAGATCTGTCAGAGTGGGAAGCATACTATAAATTTGCTATCTTGTTAACAAGCGCAATCTCTGGCCCAATGTGTGTTCAATAATCAAAAAAGTGTCTCTGGGTCTAATCCTCCACTCCCTACGGTGGCAAATTTTCCATTACAGCCAGTGGAAATTTTGTCTTCATTGAGGCTGCATAAACAAAGCTGTTATAAGAACATGACAAACCTTTTGTAGCAAGTAATTTACTGAAGTTGGGCCTTGTTTACAAGTTATCCGTGCACAGATCTGGTTTGGAAAATGTGTTTCTCATCCAAGATTGTTCTCACCGTTTATTGTAGGATCTAGATTGTTTGGCAACTCTGCTATATCCACGCCTATTTGTAATTTGTGGTGTGTGACAATGTTGCCAATAGAACTGGGTGAAACTTTTTGCACAAAACTCCCCCTCCTGGAAAAAAAGCACGTTCGGTGGCAGAAATATTCTGTGATTTTGTGTCAACTTCAGCAAGTTGCTTTCTTTTTCAAAATAAACCTAAAAATTCCCTCCCAAACTGAAATGTTTTGGTTGAACACTTTGGAAATAAAATTTTTATGTTTTTTGTTTGAGATGAAAAATCATTTTGAAGTTTCCTTTAATGATATGAATAAATATTCCAAAGAGTTTCCCAAAACAAAATCTATTCTGACTTTTTGAAGTTGCCAATAACCCCCCTCCCGAAAAAAAATCCATTATTTGCTCATTTCTAATTGCCAACTCCTGATTTTTATCCCAAGTCCCACAATATTTGGTGTTTTTTTTTTCTTCAAACCTCATCTCAGAGGTGTGTTATTTTGTGAAAATATCAGCTTTCATTTAAAGAGTTTATAGGCATCATGGTTTCATAGAGAAGCCTGAAAACATTATTGGCATGCATCTTACAGGCTGACAACCCAGAGAACCCAAGGTGTGTTATTAATATTAGTTTGCTTAGATTTTTTGAATGCTTGGAGTTAATAAAACTGGATTGGTCACTTATATCTCATGGTATATTTCTTCCTTTTTGACTGGATGGCAAAGGCATTTCAAGATGGCTGCGCAACCACTTCCAACCAGAACTAGCATAATAGTTTTGTTAACAAAAGAAGCATTTATACAAAAGTGTGTAAAGTGAATAATGAAGATCACAAATACTATCTAGATGATTCATGTTTATTCAAATGAGCATCCACAAAGTTTTAAGCAGTATCTATCCGGCTTTCTGGGGAAGGATGGTCTTGTGTGGTCTGCATTTAGTTCATAGTTGTGCCCCACAACTTCTCCTATGACTAGCTTAATCTCTCCAGCTCACTGCATCTGGAAAATGGAGATCCAGTACTCCCTTTGTTTTGCTGATTGTAATTTCTTCAAAGCAGGGACTGTCTCTTACTAAGAATTTCCTCAATGGGCCCTGGTCACAGTTGGGGCCTTCTGAAACTACCATCATGTAAATAATCATCTACCTATGGTGGGCATAGAGATTTCCAGCTTGACACAAGATAAAGATGAAGTTGCAACATGAAAACTATGGGGGTCCTGCACCACTATGCTGCAGATATAATGCTCATCGACTATGCTCCTTTATTATTTTATTTGTTCACTGCCTTTGGAGAGAGAAGTTGTAAATTTCATAAAAGAAATTCCATCTAAAGAGTGACATAGTGTAAAGGACCTTGTGTTAACAGAGCTCAAAGTAAATATTGATAAGGTAAATATTAACAGGGGGATCGTTCTCTCCATTAAAAATTCTTGCAATGCATTGTTTATCTATACGCTAAGGGAAGGCTCCATTAGGAACTCATTGTTTTATATTCTGCACTGTGTAGCAGCTTCTACCTAAATGATTTGCATTTGTTCTGTAACATAAAGCCAGAGGTCTGATTAGCTGATGTGAATAGCAGAGCCCAAAGACAATATCTGCTCATTTTTAAAGCAGAGTAAAACTTTGCAGGAAATATCCTTAATTTGTCAGTATGAACGCATTTAGCTTGTTATGTATGCAAGAGATCAGTAAAATATCTTGCCAGTCCAAAATAGACACTACCACTCATTTGATGAGTTGGTGCCAAATTCTCTCTCTTATTCAGGCAAAGTCCCCACTTATCTCAATGGGTGTAGGGGCACGGATCCGTGTTCATGTCACGCTCCCTGTCAGTACCCAGCCCGGGCCAGGGAAGCTAATGATCCAACCAGCAGACCAAATTCGGTGATGAATCCTGATCGCATGCCACCTGAGGCACATTGCGCATATGCTAAGAAGTGGGATTTATGCTTTGGAAAATACTATAGGGTGTGACTCATATGTACTCTGTTTCTTCTGTAGACTGCATGCCCATAATAGGAGCCTAAACGGCATTGGACTCTTAATGGGAATTGCGGGACCGGACATCTTCACACCGCCTTTGAACTTCCAGCTTCTGACGAGTTATACCATTTTACACCAGCTGACAATCTGGTCTGCAGTAGTTAGGGGGGAGAGGAAGGATAGCCCATTGGTTAGGGCACTGGCTTGGACTTTAGAGACCTGGGTTTAAGCCCTTATTCTGCCACAGCCTTCCTGCCTGATTTAATGACTTGCCAAGGGTCAGTACACCTCCATGCCACATCTGAAAAACCAGGATAATACCTACCTCACAGAAGTGTTGTGAGGAAGCTACCTTAAATACTCCAATACACTTGGATGCTCTGGTAATGGATGCTATGAAAATACTTTACATAGCACACACGGTCATTGAATTCAGTGAGAATGAGTTAGGACCTTAAATGCCTGATCCTACTTGCACTGATGTCAGTGAATGCTTTGGCATTGATTTCCTTGGGGACAAGGATGAAGCCCCATGACTTTCATTTCACCATTTAATGGCTAGAGAAAAAAAACAGGAGTAAACGTTTGCCCCACAACAATGAATATTTACCTCAGAATGAGTTAAAGACATTTGTATTGAGTAAAGTAGTAGCCTCGCAGAGGATCAAAGACGTGCTTTAAAAAAAAAAATCCAGCATTTCTTTGTGACAACACATTATGGCAACTCTGCTAGCAAACATTTCTCGGCTGCAGTTCCACTTTATCAGCCCCAAGTAAAAGAATTGATATGTCTGGATAGATAAAGTAAATGGAAACTCAGGACTCATTCCAATTTTCTGTACTTTGACATATTTTACAAACCTGAGAGTAGCCAATGCAACACTAGTTGCTCTTTGTATATAAATATCGTACATTAGAAGATCTCTGAAGAATTGTTTGTTTACTTTTCCCCTCTGCTTGCCTATTGGTTTTATGATTGGAAGACAAATGCAATGTTTCCTCACCACATACGTTTGCAATCCAAAACACGATTCCAGAACAAGCATTCATCTTCATTGGTTGGTTTCCAGGCTGATAAAACACAGGGAGATATTTTCCAGTGGTGCCAAATACTAATGTAGCAGAAGTTTATAACTGTAATGAGTTCTTTGCCACGGAAGAATGGTTCTTAAAGGCTTTTGATCAATGCTACCCACAAGACAAATTTACTGCTGGTGTAACTTTGCTGACTGGAATTTAGATGCACTAGGGATTAATCTGAATCGGGTTTTATAATAGGTTTCTGTTAGATTTCTTAGTCCCAGCTTCCAAAAGTAAAAAGAATTAGAATGCATTAACAGGTGAGCTATAAAACCACTGGTCACTTGTGGTCATTAGAGATTACACTTTTCACAAGAGTAGGGATGTTTTCCTCTAGTTTTAATGTGGGTAGCTACATTTTGCCAACCGAGAGTCTCACTAAGGTGATCTACTGCTAAAGAGGATTGCTGTACAGTTAGACTGCTGCCAATCTTCATCTCAAGAGGAGCTGCCCTGCCATGGTGCCTGACGTGGTACCTCTATATGTTGCCGGGTCTAGTATTTGTCTGGTTTCCCCACTGGCTTTTTTTTAATATTCTGGGAATGGGGCTTTATTGAGTTACAGCAGGCATACTGGGGAAAGTGGAGAGGCTGTTGAGGGTTGCTTCATAATATGAGGATTATCCTTCATTGATTCCCATGTTGTTCTGTGGCAATACCCACCCACTTCTATCCCTACCCATATGCACAAGAACTTTGATAGCAGCCATTGTAGGGGGAGTCCCCAGAAACACAGAAGCTCCTACAGGAATCACACATTCCAGGACATAGCAGGAGCTTGTAGGGTCAGGAAAAATTAGGCCCTAACTGGATAAACAAAATAGATAGCTTTGAAAGTTACTCTGCTGTGATAAGAAGCAGCAGATGTCTCAGGGAAAACTGAAAGCTATTTGTAGAAACAGTTCTATACACTGCCAAATTCTCCCCTCAGTTACACCTGTAGAATGCCATTGAATTCGGTGGGATTGCATATGTATAGCCAAGATCCAGCATGAGTTGAAAAACAAAGCTGTTTTCATAATTCAAGTGCCTTTCGAACTACAGAACAAAGACAAATGCGGAGGATCTAAATCAAAAGTCAGAAGATATTTTGAGTCAAGCAAAACATTTTGTTTGATCCTACACAATTTTTCATTTCGAATTCAGGCAGTGAAAAAAGAGGAGGAAGTGGTGCTCCCCAAGTTCAAATTCTTCATGTACATCAGGGAGAGAGGGAAACCAAACCTGCATCTCCCACATCCCAGGTGAGTGCCTCAGCTACTGTGTAATGGTTACAAAGAGGATGTGTGGCCACCATCTCCTCCTCCTGCCTTCTTTTTGTTACTCCAGGACAAAAAAATCGAAATGTTTCAGTAATGTCAAAATGAAGCCATTCCTTTCAACATTACCAAAACATTTTGATTGTTCAGTTCCATCCGAGCTATTAGCCCAACTCCACATGAAGTTGTGAATAATTGTGAGACAACTAAAACTGGTTTGTCAACAAATCGTTTATTCACCGAAAACATCTTGCCCAACTCTGCACTGACTGTGATTAACGAGAACCAGATTCAATTCCCAACTATACCACAAACCTCCTGGATTACCTTGAACAAGCCATTTAATTTCTGAACCTCAGCCTCCTGTCTCTAAAATGTCCATAAATACTCCCTTTGGCTCATCCTTTTAGACTGCAAGCTCTTTCGAGACAGGGATGGTTTCTTATGATATGTTTGTACTGTGCGTACGGTGGACCCTGATCTTCATTGGGGCCACTTGATACTGCTGTAATACAAACGATTCCATATACACGTGGTAGATACGGGTTCTTAGCATGCTTTTAGGGAGAAGGAGGGATGATCTCGACCAGAGTAATCCCCTTGATGATAAAAGCCATATAAGGAACAGGGTAGATCTGAGAGGTTCCCATTTGAAGAACTGCCACCCAGCTGTTTTATTTGGGGGCCAATAGAACCTCTGGAGTCCAGCAGATCCACCAAACCCAGCCACCTGCATAACTCAGCTTCTCCTTCACTCTGGTGGAGCTGAGCTGACAGGGCTAATTCTGTGGCCACCAGCCCTTGAATCTGTCAGGTAGGTAATTGTCCACATTTTACAGTTGGGGAAACTGAGGTACATGGTTCATGTAAGTTCTTATAACAAGCCTATTCCCAGCTCTGCTAGAACCCAGATAACATGACCCTACTTGAACCAGCAGACCATACTTCTGATGAAGTCCATATTAATTACCCAGTACCATGTCAAGTTCTTAGTCTGCATAATATTAACCCAGTTTTATTTTAATCTGGTGCTGCTGTGCACATGCATATATCTGCATAATAATGAATATAAGATATTGTGCATATGCATTAGATTACTTGCACAGCATCAGTATCATACTATTTTCAATTCTTGCCTTCCCATATGCCAACAGCAATTAACTACGTTATGGACTAATTGCTTATGGAATTTCATGTTTATTTCAAAGTAATTTCTAAACTCCATGAGCACCAGCACTTTAGAACAGCAATTTAAAATGCGAGAAACTTCCTTTAAAAAGAGAGAGACACTCGTGAGTTAAAATAAATGCTGACCTTTTTGGTCGACTGGAAAGGGGATATAAATAGTCTATGTTTCCGTACACTAGACCTCAGACTACTTCATAAATCTTGGACCTGATTCTCACCTGCCTGGCACCTTGTGCAGTGAGCGCTTCTGCAACATGAGCATAGAGTGCTTTTGTTATTTGGCTTCACCCGCTTGGCACAGCTGCGACTAGACCACATGCAATGGGTAGATGTTCATAATGGACATGTCTTACCTCTGTGATTCACTAGCCCTCAGACAGCTGTGAGCAGCTCATGGACTATACGGAAAAAATGTCTCATAGTAAAACAATTCTTTAAATACTTTCAGGGGTACTAGGAACTCTCTCTACTCATCGGGATTTTTGTGTGCGTGCAGGAATGGACCAACTCCCACTAGCTTAAATAGGAGCAGAACAGGCTTTACTTTGGAATTTATGTATTGCTCCTTTTAATCATTATCTGAATTTAAAATCCTATGAATCTGACATTATAGTCACCATAGCAACTAGCTGTGACATCACAGATGAAGCGTTGTTAATAATATTCGGCCTTTTTCCATCTTCACGATGAATAAACCCACAAACAGCCCGGAGAATGGTAAGTATTGCTGCCTAGGTCATAGCTGGAGAAGTTTAAGGCAGAGAGAGCTTGGACGACATGCCAAAGGTTACTTAGGGAATTGGTATCAGAGCTGGGACAAGCATACAGGAATTCCTGGCTACTCATCCTGTGCACAGAGCACAACAATAATATTTCATTGTTTAATATATGGCTTTTGTGCCATAGCCCAGCATGGGGCTTTACAGAGAGAGCTAAGCCAGTCCCTGCTCACGGCAGTTACAGCCTCGTCCCCAAAGGAAGAATCCACATGAGGAACTGGGAAGTATGAGGTTGCTAGACATTCTTCCATTGCTGCACTCCCTTCAAGGTTTGCCCTCTTGGAAAAGAGCACTAGGCCGGGGCTTCGCAACATTTTTCTTTCTGAGGCCGCCCCGAAATGCTATAAAAACTCCATGGCCAAGCTGTGCCACAATTGCGGGTTTTCTGCATATAAACTCCAGGGTCGGTGTTAGGGGGTAGCAAGCAGGGAGGTTGCCTGGGGCCCCGTCCACAGGGGCCCCCATGAAGCTTCATTGCTCAGGCTTCAGCTTCAGCCCCAGGTGGCGGGGCTCAGCGACCTGAGCTTCAGCTTCATGCAGTGGGGCGTTGGCTTTCTGCCCTGGGCCCCAGCGAGTCTAATGCCGGCCCTGCTTGGAGCCCCCCCGAAACCTGCTCGAGGCCCCCTGGGGGGCCACGGACCCCTGGTTGAGAAGTACCGCACTAGGCGATTTTAGTGCCAAGCCCACCAGGTCCATCCTTGGCTGCCTAGCAGCACAACTCCACTGGAATTGCACTCCTAAGGTTTCCTTATTGCCCATAGCTACCTGACATAGGGCTTTACGCAGACGTTTACATTGACAGTAAGAGCTGGGAAAACACTGCAGAAGTGGGTGCAATGTTCATTCACCTCTTTAAATGAACCCACGTCACCTAGTATTTGCACCTGTGCCGGACTAGGCTGGGGCTAGAACAACAGGCTCCAGAACACAGGGGAGACAATGCCCAGGGGGGAATTATATCCCCCTACTCCTTTAAGGCTCTGGCCTCTTTTTAAGGGAAAAGGCCTAAGCTTCCCTCCGCTGAAGGCCAGTGCAACATGTTCCCTTCCCCACTCCTGGCAGGCTCTTAGCAAACAAAGAAAACAAGGAATTAAACAGTCTTATCTGCAGACCTTTTCAAAGAGAGTCTGACCTAGTCCTTAAGCAGACAAGAAGCATTCCGCTTCTCGGGTTCTCTTGCTACTTAGCTCTGCTTCACTAAGTGCAAGAAGATCCATTTTTCTCCCTTTCTGCTTCCTGTAGCTGGGGGGCAGGTGAAAGCCTTCACACTCTGTTTCCAGGGTCGCACAGCCTCCGCAGGGCAGGGCAGCTCCCTGGCCCTGCCTTCAAGGAATTAACCCCTTGTCTCCCTGCTCAGGTCTGGGGTATCCCACCTATTTACAGTGCTGATTGGTGGCTAGGTGTACAGAATAGCATGGCTTCAGCAATGGAAAATCCCGAGCCCATTTCCACGTAGGAAGAATGGAAATTTTGCTGCTGACTTTGATGAGGACAGGACCAGTCTCTTAATGTGCACCTAATGCTTGGGTTCCAACAGTGCTATGGGGCCATATCTACGCCAGGCTGGAATTTGACCCTCAGTGTGAACAGGGAATAGACATTGATTCCCAGTACTGCCATTGCAGTCTCTTCCTGTGCACACTTTGGCAGGAGGAGCAGCAGCTCTGGCTCTACGGGTGTCACTCACACCTGACACTAGAAAGTTGTCATATAAGCTATGGGCTTTTCTGACATTTGCCACTGACTCTGTTTCTACCTGTAGTGGCTTTGGTGCCCTTGGAACTGTCTAGATCAGCGGTTCCCAAACTTGTTCCACCACTTGTGCAGGGAAAGCCTCTGGCGGGCCGGGCCGGTTTGTTTACCTGCCGTGTCCGCAGGTTTGGCTGATCGCGGCTCCCAGTTCGGCTGATTGCGGCTCCCAAAGGATGTACTGGCCGCCACTTCCAGCAGCTCCCATTGGCCAGGAGCAGAGAATCGCGGCCACTGGGAGCCGCGATTGGCCGAACCTGCGGACGCGGCAGGTAAACAAACCGGCCCGGCCCACCAGGGGCTTTCCCTGCACCAGCGGCGGAACAAGTTTGGGAACCACTGGTCTACGGATGTCTTAAAGGGTCATGGGCTGGGGAATTGTCTTCTCTATTCATTACTTGTTTAGGTCTGATTCCATCTAGCAGAGGGGCATACCAGAGCTGCGTAAGAGTAGAGACATGAATTGTTTGGTAAGATTGATTTTTTCTTCATTGCCTTCCTCCAAGCCCATTGTTCTGGTATTTAGCCTCTCCCCCTCAGCTTCCCTGCCTTGGAAGGGGGGGACCAAATCCACAGATCTGAAGACACTGTACCCTGACCTAAAGGATAGGGCTGACTCTTCTCTTTATAATAGGAAGAAAAAAACACCTCATGAGAGGGATTGGTAGCAAGGGTTGATTTCAGAATCTGCACTTACATCTGGCTTGCACTTACATTTAATAATGATATTGATCTCTTAGCAGTACTCTGAGGATTCATTAGTTAATATCAAGAAAGTGTGTGGAAAGTGCTAAATTACAGAGCCCCCATTGACTTCAGGCCCATGATTATTTACAAATTGGATCCTAAATCTATATTTTTCCTTTTTCTTTCCTTCTATTTGGAACATTTTAATATGCTTCCTTATCTAAACCATCCTAAGTCATAGCAGTAATAATCCCGCATTGGCAGAGGGATGTGCTCAGTGACCTGTTAGTTCTTTTCCATCTCTAACTCCTCTGATCTCTAACTTTTGAACATAATACACCATACAGCCCAGTAACTGGGGGGAGGCTCTTCAGGGAGACAGAATAATCTCACCAGTATAGATTCCGCAACAAGGGCATACACTACTGTGTAGCTCTAGAATCTGTAAGCAGGTTTGTTTGGTTTTTTGCCTGCATATTTTTATTTTATGCTTTACTGCTCTGGTGACAAATTTTAATTTATATTTATTTTTTATGTCCAGTGTTTTATTATGTTGGCACTCATCTGAGTTATAGACCAGAA